CAATCTCAAAGGCTAGGGTGAATGCGTTAAAGACAGAATTTCAAACAATTCAGAAGGGTGGTGATTCAATTGATCAATATTTGTCCAAAATGAGACACATTAAAGAACAATTGGTTGCAGCTGGTGAATTTGTTTCAGACAATGATTTTGTGGTGGCTGCTTTATCTGGTTTACCGAGGGAATATTCTACTATACGAACTGTAATTTTTACTCGAGATACTTCTATTTCTCTAAGAGAATTCAGAGAGCAATTACTGTGTGCAGAGAGAGAGGCTGACTCTATGGTTAACACTTTGGCTCATAATTTTTCTGGGTTGTATATGCAAGGATCGTCTTCTCAGTCAAGTGATTCTTAGGGTTCCTCTAGTAACTCTGATAATGTTCCTTTCACCACTGGTGGTACTATTACTTGAGTATCCAACACTGCTTCTCCTGTGAGTGTGCCATTTCTATCTCTGGGTTCTAATACAATGCATGCTCTGCCACCAGGTCCTATTTTTCCACATATTCCTTATTCTATGGATGGTTCTATGTTTCCTCAAGTTCCATATTCTCCTACTTCATACATGCTGCCTCCATCGTTGCCTCCTATATATCCTGATTTTACAAATGTCTATGGTTTTATTGGCAATGGTAATTCTCCTAGGCCATTTCCTAATTCCAATAATGGTTCACGGTCTTTCTCTGGTTCTAAGCCTAAAGGGGGCTATAAAGGTTCCACTTTTGGAAATGGACGGGGACAATTTTCTGGTCCTAAACAAAGTGGAGGTACTTGGCAGTCTTGGTCAGGGAATACTGAAACCAGATCTCATGTTGTCCCAGAGTGTCAAATCTGTTCTAAACGTGGTCACACAACCCCTAATTGTTGGAAGCGATCTACTAGTCCTAGTTCTATAGGACAAGTTGTGGAATGTCAAATATGTGGCAAGCGTGGTCATAGTGCTTTGGATTGTCATCATCGTAATAACTTTGCCTATCAGGGCACATCTCCTGCTTCTTCCTTGACTGCTATGCAAGCTCATGCTCCTCCTAATCTTCTACCTCAAGATTCTTGGATAGTAGACACTGGTGCTTCGCACCATATGACTGCTGATTTGAACTCCCTGCAGCAAGTCACATCTTATGCAGGCACTGATAAGATTACTATTGGAAATGGTGAAGGTTTGCAAATCAAAAATATTGGTTCTGCACGTTTACATACTTTACCTCAGTCTTTACTTCTCAGAACAGTTTTACATGTTCCTACTATTGCAGTTAGTCTACTGTCAGTTAAATAATTATGCAAGGATAATTTTTGTTGGTTTATATGTGATGATAACGAGTTCTTTGTGCAAGACAAGGTAACCAAGGCTGTTCTATATCACGGAAGGACAAATGAGGGTGAGTTGTTTCGGATTTCAGTGAAGTTGTTATCAGAGTCTTCATCTCGGAAGTTAGTGGCTCTTCTTGGACAAAAAATAAAGTCTGAAGTATGGCATCAACGGTGTGGTCATCCCAGCAATGAAGTGTTATCTGTAATGTTGAAACAGTCTAATATATTTAGTTCTCCTGATACTCATCAACGTTTGTGTTCCTGTTGTATTTCTGGCAAGATGTCTAGGTTGCCATTTCATGAAAGGAACGACTCATGTAACTTTCCATTTCAAAAGGTGCATACTGATCTTTGGGGTCCATCACCTACTATGTCTATAGAAGGTTACAAATACTACATTAGTTTTATTGATGAGTTTACCAAATTTGTATGGATATTTCCTTTAATCAATAAATCAGAAGTGTTTGATGTCTTTCAAAAATTCTACAATTTTGTCTTCACTCAGTTTAATATTGGAATTAAGTGTTTGCAAACTGATGGTGGTGGGGAGTATATAAGTAGAAGATTTGATGATTTTTTGAACCATAAGGGCATTGTACATATGATTTCGTGTCCATACACTCCTCAACAAAATGGACTTGTTGAGAGGAAACATAGGCATATTGTGGAAACTGCTATTACCTTGATGACTACTGCTCAGTTACCTCAGGATCTTTGGTATCATGCCTGTGCACATTCTGTGTTTTTGATTAATAGAATGCCTTGCAAGGTTTTAGGCATGCAATCTCCTTATCAAAGCCTATATGGTGTTTCTCCTTCATTACAAGGTCTTAAAGTATTTGGTACTTCAGTTTATCCATACATTAGACCTTACAATGTTAATAAATTGCAACCAAGGGCTTCGTTATGTGTCTTTATGGGATATGCCTTAGGCTATAAAGGAGTAATCTGTTTCCATTCAAAGTCTAGGAAATTTATCCTTTCTCGGCATGTGATTCATGATGAAGATTTGTTTCCATATAAGTCTCTGCATTCAACAGAATACATCTCAGGGGATTAGTTCTCCAGATTCCACACATGTATCTTCTCCAATACCTTCTGCTATCTTTCTGCCACAGTCAGTTTCAATGCCCAATGATGGTTCATCTCTGGATTGTGTTGTGGGTCGAGATGGTATTGATTTGTCTGGTTCTACTACTATGCATCTTTCTCAGCAATCTTCTGGCACACTGAGTCATTCTTCGACTGTCCCTGAATCTGAAACAACTCCCTCATCTTCCTCAACAGCTTTGATGTTACCTGTCCTTGATCCTACACAATTGGAGGTAATTCTTCCATTTCCTTCATCTTCTAATGGTGGTACTACACATCCTATTGTTTCTTCTCCTCCAAGAATGCAAACAAGGCTACAAACTGGTGCCATTTCAAGGAAGACTTATGCTAATTACATAGCATCATTACCAGAATTACACTCATTGCAGCTTGATTTCCAGGATTCTTGTGCTGGTGGTTTTTCATTTATGGCTAGTATGAATGATCTCTCTGAGCCTAAATCTTTTAAGAGTGCTGCAACTAATGTTAATTGGCAAAATGCCATGCAAGAGGAATTTGATGCATCAAAGAGTTAAGGGACTTGGGTTTTGGTTCCTCCACCTACACATAGATCAATCATTGGTAGTAAGTGGGTTTATAAACTGAAAAAAAATCCTGTTGGTACAATATCCAGATATAAGGCACGGTTAGTGGCTCAAGGTTATACTCAAGAGTATGGTTTGGATTATTTTGAAACCTTTAGTCCTATTGTTAGGCATACGACAGTTCGGTTGATCATTTCCATTGCTGCTCAAAACAGATGGGAATTAAGGCAACTTGACATTAAAAATGCATTCTTACATGGAGATTTAGAAGAAGAGGTTTACATGAAGCAACCTCAAGGTTTTGTGGATTCTACACATCCTGATTTTGTGTGCAAATTGGTTAAGTCTCTGTATGGTTTGAAACAGGCACCTAGGGCCTGGAATGCTAAGTTTACAGGATATCTTCCAGCTATGGGATTTACAGTGTCTCAATCAGATAACAGCCTGTTTATCAAACATGATGGCACTGATGTTATTGCCTTATTATTATATGTTGATGACATTATCTTGACAGGATCTAATGCCACCAAAATTCAAGCTATTATTCACGAATTGGGAGATGTTTTTTATCTCAAAGACATGGGCAGATTGTCTTATTTTCTCGGGTTGCAGATTAAGTACAACGATAATGGTGATATTTTCTTGAATCAATCTAAGTATGTCAAAGATTTGATCCACAAAGCTGGTATGGACAATTGCAAGCCTGCATCCACACCATGTAAGCCACACACTCAGCTCTGAGCATCTGATGGCACTTCTTTAAGTGATCCAACTATGTATCGCAGTCTGGTTGGTGCTTTACAGTACCTTACCTTTACTCGACCAGATCTTTCTTATGTTGTAAACATTGCTTGTCAGTATATGAATCAACCTACTGATGTTCATTATGGTCTTGTGAAAAGGATTCTTCGCTATGTTCAAGGTACTGTACTATGTGGTATTACCTATTCTGCATCTTCGGACAACTCTATTACAGCATTCTCTGATTCGGATTGGGCCGCTGATCCTAATACTAGAAGATCTATTACTGGTTTTGTGGTGTATATGGGACACAATCCAATCTCGTGGCAATCAAAGAAACAGTCCTCAGTTTCTAGGAGCTCCACAGAGGCAGAATATAAGGCCTTAGCTCATTGTGCAGCTGATGTAATATGGATTAGGTTGCTGCTCAATAATCTTCATCAGTGTCTGTCAATGCCACTGTTGTTACATTGTGATAACCTCTCTGCGTTAGCCTTATGTTCTAATCCTGTGTTTCATACACGGATTAAACATTTGGATACCGATTTTCACTTTGTAAGAGAGAAGGTTCAGAAGAAGGACTTGCAAGTTCAATATGTTCCCACTGCAGAACAAACGACTAATGCTCTTACCAAAGGTCTACATGGACCTGCCTTCTTCAAACATTGCTGCAATCTCAGGATTAGTCGCCCTACCTGCGATTGAGGGGGGATGATGAGTATGGTCACATGGCAATATTACATATAGTTGCCATGTCAGCAAATCAGTTGGATTTGGTTGTAAGGACAGTTGGATATTGTTGTAAGATTTGGTTAAATGGATAAGATTTAGTGAGATATGTTGAAGGGTAGCTTAGTCATTAAGACAATAGTGATAGTCCTTTATATTTGGTTCTCTTGTAATAACGTTTTAATTCTTCTACAATACAAGAATAGTGAAGTCTTTTTCCTCTTTGAGTTTCTGAGCTTTTCTTTGATTCTTCGACTCTCTTCCATTCTCTGAAGATCTTGATCAATGTCAAACTCTGTTTTTTTAGTTAATAAATACTAGATACGAATATGTCAATATAATCTTTTAATATAACATTGATATTGATATAATATCGACTTTGTGTCATTGGAGTCGCTCCATATATTCAGTCCGAGATAGACAATGCACAACCCATATGCGCGAGAGAGAAGAAATAAAGTGGGTGAGTCGAGTCGAGTCGAGTCGAGCCACACTTGGTTGCATAGGTGAATGAATAAAACGACGCAATATTTGGTTGCACACGTGTAAAAACGACGCCACAAGATGGTCTCTCCGCAAGCACTCACTAATTTCGGCATTATCTTATCAGTACCTCCTGCTGCTGCTTGTCCACTTCGCTCTGCTGCAAAGCGCACAGACGCACTCAGCAGCACAAAGCAGTAGCAGCAGCGAAGCTACACTATGAGCAATTTCATGGGATTGGAGCTCTCAGCCTCCATAACCAAACCCTCCACCTTCTTCTTCGACGCCATTAATTTCTTCCCAATCACTGAAAATGTCTCCCCAGCAACCCTTCCAATCCCTTCCATGTCCTCTGCCTCTCCTTTCCCTCCTCCCAAACACCGCCTTCAGTCCAAGCACAGAAGAAAGGCAGGAGTAACTCAATCAATCTACACTACCCGTGAGTCCTTTCTAACCTTCTTTCTTTTATTTCAGCACTACCGGTCTTACTTTGGTTCTTGAAGCAGAAATGGTGAAAATTTGAGAAAATAAGAATTTGTTTTAGATAATTTGCCACTAAATTGAGTTTTTTGAGGTGGGTTTTTGAATTTTTTGAAAACCCAAAACAATATATAGCAAAAGGCTCAAAATTGCTGTAATTTTGTTTTGGTTTGTTTTTATATTAAATTTGAGGAGGGGAATTTGTTGCTCAGGTACTCAAGCAAGTAACATAGCCAGTGCCCAAGTGGCAGAGCAAGTAGATGTTGAAGTTGCTGAGGGTTACACCATGACTCAATTTTGTGATAAGGTTATTGATATCTTCATGAATGAGAAACCCAGGACAAAGGATTGGAGGAAGTTTTTGGTGTTTAGGGAGGACTGGAAGAAGTATAGGGAAAATTTTTACAACCGGTGTAGGACGCGAGCAGATACGGAGGTTGATCCAACAATGAAGGAAAAGTTTACCTCTTTGGGAAGAAAGGTGAAGAAGGTATGTTGATGTCTCTATCGTGTTCTTTTGGTTTGATGATTCTTTCTTTGTTTCTGTAATTTGTGAGGAATTAAAGGTCAAAGTTGAAGCCATGCCTTTAGTTACATTGGAGACCGAAAATTAGATAAGCATTGTACTTGATTTAGGGGTGGGTTTAGTTTTCCAGGTCTACTAGGATTATACACTTCATTCTTGTTTTTTCTTCTATTTATTAGCATCTGAAAGAACAGGTAGAGATTCATGTAAATATATGCTTGTTTGAGTTTAGAGCTCTTTTACGGTTATGTTTGATCAGGAGTGAGCATTGCAGATTGATGATGAAATGGAAAGGCACAATGAACTTCTCAATGAGATACAAGACAATCCAACTGACGTTAATGCAATAGTTGCACGGAGACGTGAAGACTTCACAGAGGAATTCTTTCGCCACCTTAACCTACTTTCGGAAATTTATGATAGTTTGGAGGATCGTGATGGTAATCACAATTGCACAATCATCTTCAGTGTTTGTATTTGGATTATGTTTTGTGAAATTAGTTGATGATGACTTGATTTTGACGTCCATAAACATTTGAGAGCGTCGCTGGTTTTCTTTTCAATATGGTTTTGCAAATACACAAAGTTTCTCGAATTCTGCCAAATCTGACCTGTTTGACTTTGGGTGGAAACGTATGATGTTGAACTGATCATTTTGAACCTTAACACTTACAATGACAGTTCTTTCCATCTAAAGATAGAGTTTTGTAGTTTGTTCACTTATCTAATATGATCGTCTCAATTTTTTGATCAGCAATGGCCCGGCTGGGGGCTAGGTGTTTATCTGCTGTCAGTGCTTATGATAACACACTGGAATACGTGGAGACATTAGATACTGCACAGGCCAAATTTGATGACATCCTAAATTCTCCTTCCATGGATGTAGCATGTGAGAAGATTAAAAGCCTTGCCAAGGCTAAGGAGCTTGATTCTTCATTAGTATTGTTGATAAACAGTGCTTGGGCTTCAGCAAAGGAGTCCACAACTATGAAAAACGAGGTATGGTCATTAACCTTGTACCTATAGCATATCATCAGTTTCCTAATAATTATCATAATCAATCAATGCGTCAGAGAAGCGCAACTCAAGCGAAGGATAAATCAGTTTTCTTCAAATCATTATAATGCGTTTAAAGAATACGCCAAGCACTGCATTGTTCAGTTTCCTTAGGTACTAATGGGTGTAAGTCATTTTAGAGGGTGCACGAGATACTGTTGAATGAGTTCATCTTATGAGGATATGACTGTAGGTATCTTCAAACAAAAGAACATTTCTCTGACAGCTATCAAGTATTAGTGGAATTTAGAATGATTTCAAAGGTTTCCCTTTGCACATTATCCCTTCAAGAAAGGAACATATATAGTGACAAAGACGTGTGTAGCTACTTGTTGATCAGTTGTAACTCCTACAAAAAATATATATTCTTCTATCGAGGTTCTGTGAAGCACTAGGACATCAACAACTCTGGCTTCTTTAACGGAAGATTCACCATTATTAAAATCTTTAACTACGAAGTTTTGTAGGCCTTCATGAACTTGAATGCTTGCTCTTCCTTGTCTGTTACCTCAAGATTAGATGTCTTAGTGCAGGTCAAAGATGTAATGTATCATTTGTACAAAGCCACAAAAAGCAGCCTTCGGAGCATTGCACCAAAAGAAATAAAGCTACTCAAGCATTTGCTGAACATCACAGATCCCGAAGAGCGATTCTCGGCATTGGCAACAGCTTTCTCCCCTGGAGATGGACCTGAAGCCAAGGACCCCAAAGCTGTATACACGTAAGAGAGCCCCTTTCTTTTTCAGATGATTTTTCATCAATAAAAACTTCAGTTACACTTTCGAGATAACATCTTCTGTATGTCCCTCTTTGTGGCTGAGCAGTACTCCGAAAGAGCTTCACAAGTGGATTAAGATCATGCTTGATGCGTATCATCTAAATGCGGAAGAAACCGACATTAGAGAAGCCAAGCAGATGACTCAGCCTGTGGTTATACAAAGGCTGTTCATCCTCAAGGAAACTATCGAACAGGAATATTTGGAACGAAGCACGGAGCAGGAGTCTCAAGCAGAGGGTGCTAAACCAGAGGAGTTCTAAAGTACCACCCATATTCATTAATAGCTTTATTCTGGACGTCATCTTCTTGTTGGAGAAGAATCTTAGTTATTGATGTACATCTGGTGGAGTAGATCGAGAATCGGATTGGAATGCGCAAATATGACGGCAAAGTCCAAGCATTGCAGAATTGAACTCTGGTGTCCGATATGAGCCCGTGGCCGGCCGTTTTGCAGAGAACGTGTGACGGACTAGACTCAGTGCTTCACCCTGACATATAGGCAATTGTAGCCGCATTCTAATGTTTACTAGACCAAAACAGTGTTGTAAATTTTGAAGATCTTTTCGATATTTTGGTTGGTATTAAGATTCTTAGCAAGCCAAGAGCTGTGTACTATATTTCATATTATTCAATGAACAACTTTGAAGTTTTCTTATATTCTCGTGTGGATTCCAGTTTCATATGCTTTAAGGTTATCGTATGATTTCACTCTCTTTATCATGCTACATCACTTGTAGAAAAAAGTTAGTAGCCGACTCTGGCATCTAGAGTTTTCGGCTTCTTAATTTGAACGAGGATATTGGGGATTCTCAAATCGTGTCCGTTCATTGCACATCGTACTGTCAATTTTCTTCAAGTACTATTCATATTTAATTTTAAATAAAAGTATTTAAAATGATTTCGACCGTACGATGTACGATAAACGGACATGATTTACAAAAAGGATCCATAGAGGATCCTCACAAAGAATATCCGAAAAGAATCCTCAATGTCTTAATTTGGTTCTATGTCTTCGGGTTACATTGGAAGAAATTGAACATTGAATCTATCAAGTGTCTTAAAACAAAAAAAAAACTTTAATGAAAAGGTTTTCCTAAGCTTTTTATTAATAAAAAACCATCTACTAATTTTATTTAATAAAAAAATTAAACTTTAATTAAAATAACTTATATTTTAATAAAAATGACAAAAATTTAACATAATTATTATAAAGAAAAAATAAAAAACAAAAACCGAGGTACGAATCCCACACGTCACATCACACACAATCAAACCCCTACCCCCAACGTCCTTAACCTATTTCTCTCTCCTTTCACATTCTCCATCCACATTAACTTTTGGAAAATTTTATTTAAACTCATTTAACCTCTTTTTACACCTAATTTAAAATTTTAAATGTTAATTGTCTATTTTATCCTATTGCATAATTACTATTAAGTACAAAATGAAATTATAATAAAACTCAAATTTATCAATAAACCCAACACTATAATTAAATCCTACGATCAAATTTATCTTCCCACTGTTGTACTTGTGTAATTGAAGGAGGCATGGTGCAAGGGTCTGTTGCTGATGGACTCTTAACCAATGATTCGGTCATAGACTTCTTGGTGACTCATCTGCAGGACAAGTCATACGGGGGCGTTTGTTTGCCCTCACTAAGTTGGACTGGACTGGACTAGCTATTAGTCCAATACTGTGTTTGTTCCATGCTGGGACAACATTAATGAGACTAAAGGGGACTAGCATGGACAAAACCCTTCCCTAAGAGGTCTTAGCGAGACCCCCCAATAACCATGGGACTAGCTAAGACTATCCTCTTTTTCTCGTCCTCATCATGCTCAACGACCACTCCCGACAAACTCCTCGTCATCTCCGATCACCTAGATCAATCATTAACTTTTCGACTCTCTTTCAGATCCATTTCACAACCAACTTTCATATAAAATATACCAAATTGAAGCTGGGAGTGACAAGATTACGATTTTACCTGAATCGAGGCCAAAATGTGGTCAAATGTGGCCGGAAAATGGCCTGGAAGTCTCGGCCTATTTGGGCTTCTTCAAATCCATGACAGATTCGAGCATTCAAAGCTAAATTCTCGATCTAGGGATGGTGATGAATTTTTTGGCGGTGCTAACTTCATCTAATTTAACAAGGGTTGGTCGGAAAACACATCGGGAAACCTGCAACTCGTCGGGAAAATTGGAGCCGTGAGGTTCCATTCGAACAACGCATAGCTGGAGAGGGAGGGAGGACAGAGAAATAGAGACTGGAATCAATAAGGAGTTTGACCAGGAATGAGAAAGAGACATGAATTGAGAGGTCTAAGAGGAAAAAAAGAGGGAGAGGGTGGGACGATGAGAGAAGAGGAAAAGAGTGGGACGGAAATGGTAGGAAAAGATGAAGAAAAAGATAAGATCATAATAAAATATTAATAATTTATATATTAAATAATATAATATTAAAATTTGTTATTATCCAGCTTCTTAGTCCAATACTGCATCAAACGCTTCACTAAGTTAGTCCAGTTTAGTCTAGTCTAAGCCAGTCCAGCTTAGTCCTTGAAGCTAATCCAGTCCGAGATAGTCCGGCGTAACAAACGCCCCCGATTCGAGCACAAATGTGTAGCGGCTTTGGGTATTCACGGCTCAAATATTAAGAGTTTAGCATATTCATTTAACAGATGAAACATGTAGTCATACACATAGTTCATCTTTGGCTCCTCTTGAATGAAGTCGCTTGCTGCTTTTCCAATTGCTTGTGCCTGTTCCAAAATCCGTAAGTAACAGAAACCGTAGAGTATAAACTTCCAGAGTAATGCCAGGGGGATCACATTGTTGACCACACCTCTATAAATGTGGCACAAATAGCTTTGTTCGGAGTTTAAAAAGGATAATACCATAAATTACAAACAAAATGAAAAGTTAATTAGAAGGAGGAGTCACCTTTTGTTTGTGGTTGTTGCCCTAATCCACAGTAAACTTAATGGATATACATTTGTTTTCATGCCTTATAGGCCAGTAATGGTGCACTAGTTGCAGACCTCTTGTGAAGAAATCATAGTACTTCGGTTTTACCAGCAATGTTGCTGAATCACAGGCTAGAATGTACTTCTCGCTCACAGACCATGCATAACCCTCAATATAGATCCCATACCTGCATAAATCATGATAAAACCACCTGCATAAATCATGATAAAACCAACACAGGAGAATTTTATTTATATGTCTACAAGAAATACTTGTGTGTGCATTGGTCTGCTACATTTGATTGCTTGAAGCCTTGAGATTCAAGAATCCAATCCTGAAACTATACCTAATTTGTTTGTAGATTTATTGGCTAATTGGGTTTTCAATCAAAAGTTAATGTTGTTGATAACATATGCCATTTGTTTAAACGAAATTAGTTTTTAGCTTTAATGGTACCTGGATGAATAGGCTAACATTTCAGTCCTGTGTCTCTATGACATTGCATTTTTGAGTAAGTTTTTCCTTGTATCAGCAACAAAGGGGCTTCCTTTCCAGTATGCATAAGGTTCTCTGTCCATCCATTTGATCCTTTCATTGCCTTTCTTGACACCTTTCAATAATTGAATTATCAGCTTTTGTGTTGTGGAAAACCATGCAAAGAACTTAGGTCTAAACTCATCAAATTTAGCTTTTGTTTGTGGAAAACCATGTAAAAATAAATCCACATATTGAATTGGGTTTATGGGGGTATATTAGGTATCAAATTTGGGTTTAAAGAGATATTAGTAGTTTAGTTAAAAATCAAATGGGTGCAAAGAGAAAGTTGAGTGTAGAAATAGGTTAGATGAGTTTAAATAAAATTTCTCTTAACTTTTTCTCTTCTTTCTCCTCAACCCTTTCACCTCTACCAAATCTCCTTCTACTCTCACTCTATAAAAAATACATTTTTAATTTTTGTATTTTATTATTTATTTATTTGATCATTGTTTCATAATTTTTTTAGAACAAATTAAGTAATAATATTACATGACCAAAAATAAAATAAAAAAATTATTTCTTCAATTTTATGAATACTAATATTATCACTATTTCTTAAACTGAATAGTATCTCTTAAACTAAACATTGATTATATCTTAAACCGAACACTAGTACTATCACTATTTCTTACACTAAACACGAGTATTATAAATATTTTGTAAACTAAACATTGACTATTTATTAAACAAACACTAGTATTATCATTGTTTCGTAAACTAAACACCGACTATTTCTTAAACAAAACACTAGTACTATCACTATTTCGTAAACTAAATACTAACTATTTTTTAAATCGAACACTAGTATTATCACTCTTTCATAAACTAGTACTATCACTATTTCATAAACTAAACACTGACTATTTTTTAAACAAAACACTAGTATTATCACTATTTTGTAAACTAAACCGTGACTATTTCTTAAAACAAACACTAGTACTTTCACATTTCTCTCAATCAATTTATTTGACTTTTCTTTAATTTATTCAATACAAAATAAAAATAAAAACAGAAATGAAGATGAGAAAAGCTAAGTGCGCTTTGGTTGGGGGATTCTATTCTAACATTCTCTTTCATTTTTTTTTCACACAAACTGAGTCATATCTTCCCCCACACAAGTTTTTCTCCTCCTTTTTCCTATTCACCTTCTTCAACCTTCTCTCTCCATTTACGTATACAAAAATACCCATATCAGTTTTGGTCGCCCACAACCCAGACCAATTTGAACCTAGCCCACCCCTTGTAAACCCACCGAGATGTGAGATTGAGAGAGTCACAAGAGCAACTTTGCAGAATTTCTTAGAGTTTTAGATGCAGACATTGGTGTTAGACTATTCAAGAAGAAGATGGCATAAGCATCTATGTCTACTAAAATTAACAAAGCAAGTCACCTTATTTGGTATTGTAACCACTTTTATCTAAATTTAATGAAGCAAGTCTTTTGGAAAGGAGAAATTTTTTCATGTGACTGGAACATACACCTTAACATTACAGGTGGTGTTCCCCATTAATAACCTATTAACACTTGTATTCTTATAACATAAATACAATTAATTAAAAAATAAAATTAAACCGACTCCTTGTATTCCAAGTCTCCACATCGCCTCCTACACCCTTCTCCTCCCATGCCTTCCCCATTGGCCGACTCCTTGCCGGAGACTTGCATTGTCCACCCCACCCCCACTCATCCCTCCCTTCCCCACATGTTTCCCTCTCCCTTTCTTTTTCATCTCAATATTTTGTCCTCCTTCTTGTGCTCTTTCTGAGATGGACACAAAGGATGCCGAAAGATAGATCTTAAATCGGAGGTCGGAGACGGTAAATCTAGGTTGATGGAGGTGAGTGGTTTCTGATAGGGTGGGGGAGAACGAGAGAGAAGGGGGAAATAAAAAGAGGAAGAGAGAATATATGGAGTGTCGCCGGTGGAATCATAGAGTGGCGCTAGAGGTGGGTGGTTTCTAATAAAGTGGGTGGTCGGCGTGGAAAGGGGTAGTCAAAGAGTTTTCTAACTTCTTTCTCTTTGAACTATAGGGGTATATTATGAAATTTTTTTATTAACGCCTATCATAAATATCAAAACGTGGAATTTTTTATTTATTTCAATAATGAAATTGGCATGTGTTAAAGTTGTATTGGTTGGGACCTCCAAGTAAGCTAATATGCTGGTCATCTGGAAAAAAATTTCCTTCGAAAGGACTAAATTTGGACATGTTGAGAGAGAGAGAGATAGAGAGAGAGAGAGAGAGAAAGAGAGAGAGAGAGAGAAAAGGTTGAAGAAGGTGAAGAACTTTTGCACTGCACGTGGTTCTCGGTTCTAACTTTGATGAATCGGTTGGCGTGCGTTGCATGCGCTTTGGTTGGATTAGTTTATGTTTTTCTTCTTTTTTAATCTCTTGTCATTGTCATTAAATAAAGTTATTAGGTAGTTTTTGGTTAAAATTCAAAGTTTTGAAGTCATTTTCCTTAGTTTTCCTTTTAAAGAACTAACATCGGGGTGCTCCTAGACGCCCTTGGAGGCAGGGCTGCTAAGGTACGTCTAGGCGTTCACTTGGGCCTGTTTTTCCCTTTCAAATCTAGGTATATTTCTGCTGTTCTTTTGTGTGCCGTTCTTGTTTCAAGGAGGATAAAGAGAAAGTTTCTCTAACTCTTTTTTAATTTTTTGGTTTTTTATTAATTATTGTCCATTCAAATTCTGCCACCTATCATTGTGATTAGCAAAGATTTTTTTTCTCTTGAAATTTCCTATAACTACTCCACTCGGCCATTATTTTCTTTATTTCTTTATAATAATTGCTCCACTCAATCTTTATTTCATTTTAAATTCTCTATGATAGCTCCACTTAGCCTTTATTTCCTTTTGCATTGCCTATAATTGTGACACTCCGTCTTTATTTCCTTTCATACTCCCATAATTGTGGTCACTCAACCTTATTTCTCTCCAAGTTCACTCTAATTGCTTACAATAAAATAAATACTTCCAACATTTTAATACTATATGACATAATTTCCAAGTACAACTAGACTTATTGATGAAGAAGAAGATATTATCTTTGACTTAGTTATAATTATATTTGTTTTACAAAGTATTATACTATATATATAATTATGTATGCAATATATATTAAGTCATTTAGGTTCCGTGAGATTTCGCCTCACACCTAGGCGAGGCTATCCATGGAACGCCTTGCCGACACCTCTGTACACTGGATCTATCATATGGGATGTGATTTCAACAAACTATTTTTATTCTATGGCTGGCTTTTGGATAAATGAATCAAAAGAAAATAAAGGAACATAAATAAATAGAGTTGTGCAGAAATAAAAGAAAATGCACGTCTCACCGTCGTTCATCCTTGGGCTGTAAAACGCTTCTTACGGCATTACAAGTGTTCCCTCGTTTTATTTTGGTAGAAAAAAGTTCAAACTGTTATACACTAAATTCATCTAAGCTACAAAGAGGAAAATTCGAACACAGGACCTCGAGTTAATGGTCAAATGTTTTTAATTAACTGAATTACAAATCATTTATCACAAAACTGTTACTAGTACTATCCGATTATTTTTGTTCCCAACAACTGTTTGGTGATGCTCAGTATGATTCTTGAAGTCGTATCCTGGCATATGTTGTACTGGAAGAGTATGGTACTGCAAGTCTTCTCTGTTTCGTACTACTAAAAGCAGGGCAAACGGCGTGTAGGGTTGGCATGTTAAGCGTGAGTGATCGGCATCTTTTTGCACATTGTTCATGTGTTTTCGATTTGTCTGTTGCTCCATTCGGGATTAGATAAGGATAATACTGGTAAGTAGCGTCCATTTGTTTTAGGTCATTCACTTTGTCTTTTGCCTTTCACCTAACAGAAAGAAGGAAATAAAGAAAAGCTGTCCCGCCTTAGTAGTTGACAAGTGACTTTCGTTATGTATCGTATACATGATTTGTTTTTCAAGTTGAAAATTTGCTAGCTATGAATAATTAGCCAAGCTGTAAACCCTTGAGTGTCTCGTACGTCACATTTGCTCACTCATGTTGGATCATATATAGATGTTGGATGCTTACCTCCTTTTCTATTTAAAAGTAGATCAGTTGGTGGGTTCGTCATGACACTCCATCAGGGGTTGGAAAGAGTCACAAATGTATTTCAGCCTCATTCAAATCACCATTGTATGATTTATCAGTGCCAATAATCGAACTCAAGACGTGTCGTGTTAGATGCTGATATAAGTTGGAAAAGATTTGAAGCTTTGGCTATACCTCTCACATTGTGGTCTCAACGATAGATGAAATTAACACAAATTCCAAATAGCATTGTTAAAATTGGATTAAAGAGCCCATTGTTTTATCTAATTTATATTGCTTATGTTGGAAATAAAATATGAAGTATAGAACAAAGTGAGAATAGATAGAGGGACGAGACAAGATTAAAAGGAGAATCAAAGTGTTTTTTCTTCTTATTAGAGGGTCTGTCTATATGGTTTGTTTTAAAAACAAGCCTAATAGGATTATTAGTCCATGGTATTAGAGTAGTCGGAAGATAGTCCCTGTAATGAAAAAATATGATTTAAGTCCCTCTGATGAAGTCCATTAGGATTTACGTCCAAAATTGAAAATTTCGTTAACTCTTAATTAATTATTAGCACGTGAGCTACATATATAAGGTTAAAACAAAGCTTTTCGTTAATTGTTGACGCGTGACGCTTACATATGAGGCTAATATTATCTTTTTAGTATCACATGTAAGGCTCTTAGCAAAATTATCATTTTGGGTCTAAATTTCAACGAACTTTATCATAGGGACATAAATTCTAATTTCTTTAAGGGGCAATTTCCGTTTATCGTATCACTACGAGGCCTATCAATCCAATCAAACCTTAAAAAAATAGTAACTGAAAGGACAAAACAGAAAGCTAAAAAATGTGTGGCTGGTAATTATCTGAACCATAAAGGTTATTTATGTCATTAAGGAATACTTGTACGAATGATTTTCCTATATCGTACTGCTGCAACTCCCAAGCTCCCTCCTATAAATTTCTGAGCGATCTATATCCTCCACAGCTTGTAATGGGAAGGCAACCCGAAGCTTCTGGCAATCAGTAAAGGTGCGCGTTAACCATCCGTCATCGGAGAAAATTCAGGCGGCGCAGCCAGCTTTCCGGCGACCTGGTCAAACTTGGATTTCCAATCCATTTCGGTAGATTGCAATCATTCCTTCTCAAATTTTAACTTGAATTGCAATTTACTAGTTGGTAAAGTAGACTGCAATTTCGAAGTTTTCTGTTTGGTTGCTGAGAAAATTTGGAAAAGAAAATAGAAATGGATATAGAGACGCTGTCCGTAAGTTTGTGTGCATAAATTGTATGTATGCTTAGTTTTTACAATGGTTATGCGTTGACTCTGTTTTGAGTTCTTGATTACCAAAAGTTTTGAAGCTTTTATTGTACTATGAACTCGATATCGAAAAATAAAAGTTGCAGATGTGGAAGGACTGAAAATTTTGGTATGTTTTTTGTTGAAGTTGAAGATGGAGAAGGAACAAGAAATTGAGTGGATCAAAGCTCAGAACATTGGAATAAGCGTAGACCTTGTTGCTGCAGCCAAACGTCAGCTTCAGTTTCTTGCTGCTGTTGATCGGAATCGATATCTCTATGAAGGGCCTGCTCTTGAAAGGGCAATCTATAGGTACAACAAATCCTGCAGATTTTTTGCTTTGTAGCTTTGGTTCAGTTCTTGTGTTTTTTGGGTGCTTTAGAGTTTAGATTCTTGGCCATTATTAGATCACATTTCTCGGTTTTGTTTTTTTAGTTTTGATGGTTTGTGTTCTGGTTTCCTGTTGTTTTCAATTCGGGGTTTTTGAGATGTATGCTTAGTTTGAGCTTATTGGGTCTGCAATCATATACTTTGTCTGGCCATTTGATCTTTATATGTCAAATTGGAATTACAGGTACAATGCTTGTTGGCTCCCGATGCTTGCCAAACATTCAGAGTCCCAGATTTCTGAAGGGCCTTTGGTTGTACCTCTTGATTGTGAATGGATTTGGCATTGTCACAGGCTAAATCCGGTATGCTTCTCTGGCTGAACTGTTGTAGTTTTGGTTATCTTTAATCGACAGATTGAATTGCTAAGCTTTGCGCTTTGAATATGTTTCAGGTTCAATACAAGACTGATTGTGAGAAACTTTATGGAAAGATCCTTGACAATTCTAATGTTTTATCGTCTGTCCAAGACTCTTGTAAAAGGCAAACTGAAGAAACTTGGAATAGTTTGTATCCAGAAGAACCATACGACTTAGACTTAAAGAAGGTGTTCTCGGAGGATATATCTGAAAGATCTGCTCGACTTGAAAAAAGCACCAAATATGATCTGGTTTCAGCTGTTAAAAGACAGAGTCCTTTCTTTTACCAGGTAATATGAGATTGTGGCCAATACATTTGTTAATATTACTTATTCTGAGTTTTCAAGGGGTCCATCATTGCTGACTAATTCACATTCTGGATCACTTTGTATGCAAGTATTTTTGAGAGTTTGGGGGGTTCCGATATAAGGGAAAATTGTTGTATATATAGGATCATCCAGTGTTATCATTAATTTCTCTTGGAGTGTTCTTATATGTTTCCGTTATGTGGTTATACAAGGAACTCCGTTTTGAGGACTTTTTGTTTGGAATACTTTCTTCTTTATTATTGGTGTTGTGAGGCCATCCCAGATTTCTATGTGGTTACTGGATCCAAGGACAGTTCATATCATATGCCATTACCCGCTTGCATTTTAGGTTTAGTTGCATAATGTATATACAAACACCTACACCTAGACCCACAAGTAAATATCAGACCTGCCAGAATGGTTCTCCCCTGTAACATTGCATTGTTCTTTTTTCATTTTCTTTGCTTCTTCTGGCTTATGTGTTTTTCCTTATGTTTGGCAGGTATCCAGACCCCACATGAACCATGATCTATTTATCGAAGGGGCTGTGGCTAGATATAAAGGCTTTCTTCATCTAATCAAGAGAAACAGAGAGAAGTCCGTAAAACGTTTCTGTGTTCCGACATACGATGTTGACCTTATCTGGCATACTCACCAATTGCATCCTGTATCTTATTGTAAAGACCTGAATGAACTAATGGGCAAGGTATTGGAGCATGATGACATGGACTCTGACAGAACTAAAGGGAAGAAACTTGATGTTGGGTTTTCTGGAACTACCAAGCAATGGGAAGAGACCTTTGGTATCAGGTATTGGAAGGCAGGAGCAATGCATAGAGGTAGTGCTCCATGCCCTGTTACGACCACTCCGTACAAATCTAGCATGATGAGCAAGGATGTAGCTGCATCCATCGAGTATCAGAAACTAATTCAGCTTCCAGAGGTTAAATCTGTGGAGGTAGATTTCTTTCAATCAAATGCTTTTTTCCCTTTTATTTTCTTTCCAATAAAGAAATATTATACAAATGACAGGAAGAGAAACCCCCAATTTAAACATAAAACTTTTGTTTGGTGAATATAAACGCTGAACTTTTGTTCGATGAAAATATAAACATTTAACTTAGTCTACAGCATCTTACTTGTGGCTCCTCACTTTAATCATTGACCTCATTAAAGGCAGCTGATGACTTTTGAAGTGCCTTTGTAGGAGTTTAGAAATGTTTCATCATTTCATTCTTCAGATTCATAATGTACGTGTCAAGATTGAATGTTTCTCCTCCGGTGAAAACTTAGAACCAAGATAGCAAATGTTGAGCATGCTTTTGAATTCAGACTGTTGATATATAACTAAGCACCACAGCTGGCTTTCATTTCTATTACACCTCAATTATTTTAAGGCAGTGCACATATAAACGAGTTTCTTGTACTCCTATATAATTAGGGACCTATGCTGCCATGTGCCTGAGCCAATTACATAGCAGTTATTTTTCTTAATATATTTTCCTATGCCTTTTTCCAGGTCCTTTTGGAGTGTGTGGAAGTTAGAAACTTACCAGAAGGGCACAAAGGAAGGCTCTTTGTCGCATTTAGTAAGACCCAAAATGATTATTTCTTTAACGTGAAGCGGAGACTGAGTATTTTGTCTGAGTCTGGAGAGAAACAGGTTGCTTGTTTCCAATGTGAACCTACTGGAGAGCTGGTTTTTGAACTGATATCTCATTCACCTTCCCACTTACCAATGATAAGGACCTATAAAACATTAGGTTCTACTTCACTCTCTCTTCAAGACTTTCTGGTCCCACTCTCTAAATTAGATGCAGAAAAATGGTTGGAGGTAGTGCCAAGTTCTGGAACTGTGAACTCGAAACCAATCTACCTTCGTGTTGCCGTCTCATTTACTATTCCAGCCTTGGCTCAACGCACATTCAACATGGTTCGTTCTCGACCATTGTCCAAAAGTTCTTGCTTTTTACCACTTCCTGGGAAGGTAGTAGATGCCAAGAATTTGACGCATGTGATTGATGAAACTGGTACAAAGCTTATCAGCCTGCAAATGAGGTATCAAAGTATATATTTCTTGAGTTGAGACTTTGCATTTTACATGCTGCATTCAGTTTGGAAGGAAAATTATACATATGTAGCATTTAAGTATGTCCATAACGATTTATCCTTCTCAACTTGTGAATGGTTTTGCATTTTATGATTTATTCTAAAGCTCTATGCCGGCCTGGATATTTTTATACACAGGCATCCTGAAAAGGCAAGGGCAAGGGAAAACACCATTCTTGGGAAAGAGGTGGTTGGAATCACCAAGTCTGGAAAAATATCTGCTCTTGCTAAGTCTGTTGGGACTGGCTGGACTTTGATGGATTCTCACTGGTCCCTTCATCGTGAAAAGAATTCCAATGGAGATGGCCACCTCTTTGTTCTCCATGGAGAGAAGATGGTATGCATCCATGCTCTATTCACTTCGCTTGTTTCCGAATTACATCATAATTATAGATATTTTAGTTCCCCCCTGCATACATATATGCAGACGGCCTCTTCAACCAGAAAATGAAGAGGGCTGCTTGTATGCAATACTATATCTGTCTCCTAAATTTATCTTTGGTACAGGTCAAAATATTCCACGGAAGAAAGCTGGACTATGAACCTAAACATTGCGACAAACATAAAAGTGAACAAGATTTCATGACCTTGGTTGAATTCTCTGCTGAAAATCCTTATGGCAAAGCGGTGGCATTGCTTGACCTAAAATCCGGATGTGTCCAGGTACTGTATGATCACTTCCCTGGTTCTCTTGCTTTGTCATACTTCGTAAACAATTCATTAATCTTACTTCAAAAATGAACAGGTAAAGGAAGAATGGATTCTAGTTCTTGGGATCACGCTGGCTTTTATATTATCTGATATGCTGAAGAAGGAAGGATATGACATTTTTGCTGTTAATGCCAAGGAGATGGGTAGTGTAGCTGAGGAAATTAATGAGAACCATGACTCCCATGAGGGAGTCAAAACAACCAACTTGACCTCTTCAGGAGTAACCAAGGTTGAGCAGAACAATGATGTGGCTGAATTACATGCAGTGATGCCGAAAAAAAGGGGAGACTGCGGTAGTGGGTGTGGAGATGTAACAAGGAGTGAGGTTTCTGCAGGATGTGGCAGTGGTTGCGGTGGAGGATGTGGGAGCATGGTGAAGAGTGGTGGCTGTGGCAGTGGTTGTGGTGGTGGCTGTGGCAGTGGCTGTGGTGGTGGCTGTGGAAGCATGCTGAAGAGTGGGGGCTGCGGTGGCTGTGGAGGTAGTGGTGGTTGTGGTGGTTGTGGCGGTGGCTGTGGAAGCATGCTGAAGAGTGGTGGCTGCGGTGGTTGTGGTGGTAGTGGTGGTTGTGGTGGAGGATGTGGAAGTCTTTTCAAGAGCAGTGAAAACACATCCGGTAACTCGTGCGCAGAGGAACACCAAAAGGAAATACCCAGTCATGTGAGTGAGGGAGTAGTTGCTTAATGCCCCCTCCCCTGTTCATACTTGCTGTGTGCCCAGTTTCCATCTGTTGTGTGATCTTGTCTACGATAAATAAAGCTGCATCTTTCTCATCCATCAAGCAGCTCCGATTTGCGAATCAATCGATGCAACTGCGTATATAGAACTCGATTCCTCTGAAGTCTTTTCGTTTATGTTTATCGGAATATGTAAATATAATTAAGGTTGAATATCATAATTGTATTTGGCATTTACATACCCCTGAATATTATTCAGGTTGAATATATTATAGTTTGAAGTTTTTAATGTAATTGTGTTGAATATTGTGGAGCCAAAAAGTGATTCTCCAATAGAAATATCCAAAGCCCAGTAATCCATTTGTACAAGTGCGTCCTTGCCTCATTCGCCTGCATAAGAACTATTGTCAATTTGTTCATCGGGGGCATTTTTTTAATTTTTAATTTTTTAAGATTAAGTATGAATAATCACCTTACTTTGTCTCGTTTCAAATTAATTTTAACATTTTCAAACATCTCAAAAAACTTAACGTTGTGAAAATTGAACATATGTTAAGTCATTATTGTTAAGTGATGATATTATTAACGTTCAATGATTATGTGGATCCTAGTAGCCATCTTTAGTACTTATACTGACAGATGCATAGAGATGTAGATAACTTCACTCTCGGTCACACAAAAAATATAGGAAGAGTTGTAGTCCAAGTTTTAATTAAGGCTATTTTAATTTTATATCATGAAAAGAAAAAAAAAATCTCTAACATTTAATCTAATCTTATTAGTCCACTCAAATTTTAACACGTGCTATATTCCTACTAAAATTACTCGTCATAGAGTTAATACATAGTAGCCGTATAATGCACAAAAAACAGTATTACAATTATGTTGGAACTAACATTGTGTAATTCGGTGATGTCATTGTCATGTCACACAATAATATAACATACTTCGTTGCTTTCTAACTACGCTTAACTTTTGATATGCCCCTTGTGATATCCTTTTTTCTTTTTGATGGTCATTTTGAAATAACTGTTCAAATATAACTTTTATACAATAAAATAATACTACATCGTGATGTTAAAAAGAATGACTCATCTGTCTACAGCGTATGATTTTGTCTAATGGACAATACTTGATTACTTAAAGATGAGTAAGAACTCATACTCAAAATTTCTCAAAATTGTTTGTTGTTAATTTATAGAACCTCGTGTTTTATAATCAGAACTGTTCATATTATAAATCACCTTATAAATATTGCATTTGTAAAAAATCAATTAAAACTATGGTCGTTTAATCATCAAATTGTTTAAAAACAAATGAACGGTATTGGTAAAAACATTACACACCGTCTATGTATTTGCTACAATAGATTGATTAAACGACCTTAGTTTTAATTTTTTGTTTTTTTTTTTTTGGTAGAGATGATCTTTACAGTGTGATTCATAGTATGAACGGTTCTGATCACAAGCACAAAGCTCCGTGATTAAAACATTAAAAATTTTGAGTAAGAATTCTTAATCATTTTTAAGTAGCCAAGTATTGTTCTTGTTTAATTTGTGGATGTCATCAGTTGTAAACAAACGTATGACATTCCGTTTCTCTCAGCATGACATATTCCACAACTTTGCGGCAGCCAGTCTTACTCGTTTTTCTCCCCGCTAGTAGTTCGGTTAAAATCGCAATGGCCGAAATTTTATTTTCCCATTTTCAACGAACTTTCAAACTCAAAACACATGGTTGACCCTCTTTTCGCTTGTTAGAGACAAAATCCCTCCAATCAAGTCAACCCATTGGCTCCTTTACCATTCATTTTTGGAAAAATATCGATTATGTTAGCTTCTTTTATTTTTTTGTAAGAATGCATATTCATCAATACGTTTTCTTTTTCTACAAACGATAGGATAATTACACTAATTTTGTCTAAATTATTGAGAGACGTTTTATCTAAATTAATGAGAGGCGTATTCAAATTTGAGTGCGGAGAGAGATGACACACTACTCTAGCTAACTTGGTTAAATCCATGTCTTATTTTTCTTAGTTTGTTGGGTTCTTGCTTCAGTAGTGTTATTTCATAACTTCATTAGGAAACTAGAGAAGCAAATTTGTGATTCTAACATTTTACCTATTTTATTTTGCACTTAATTATTCTTCTTTAGAAAACCAGAGGGCCCAAGTTCGTATTTACACTATATATAAGAAAATTCGTTTTGTCGACTAATTAAAGGGGGAAACCTAACTAAAGGGATACAAATGAGAAAGAAACACATAATCTAAGAGCCCTCAATAAGACTTTGGAGGTTGTTACTATTTTACTATTTATTAAAAGTGGACGCTTAGCAAACTTATGTTTAGCCGAGTTGATTAGAGTAGTGTAATTTTCTCTTTTGTATTCAAGTATGAGTCCTTTTTTTCACTGTTTATACTAAATTAATTTGAATATCGTTCAAATCAAATAGAAAAAATGGATACGTCTAATTCTCTTGGTAAAATGCATCATCTGTATATCCATAATTTTATTCTTACCTTGTGCTACACTTGAGTCTAAAGACTTATTTGTTATAAAGCAGAAATTAGGACCTCCAAAGAAACCAAGTATTAACTCTGGCCATTAAGAAAATATAAATCTAATTTTGAAATATATACCAAACAGGTGACGCATGTAATTCATGTTAATAGAGAGACGTTAAGTGGAAGACTAACTTAGGGAGACTTAAACTTAATTAGGAGCAGCATTATAATTTTACAACATTTCCTTTCCTTGTCTTACCCACCAACGTTGAAAAGGTTACAATTTGGCCAGTTTGCACTACTTAATTGGCTTATAAAAGAACCCACATTACTAATTATGCATTCACCACAATCGCAAGTTTCATTCCCCTCATCCCGAAATTTCACCACTCCATTCCTTGAGTTTTTGCATCTGATAGAAAATAATGGGTTCCAGTTTTGCACAAATTACATTAGCAATGGTGCTAATTGCTTCAATGCTGGCAGTTAGCACAGCCAACAAAGATTGGCAATATGGTAATTACACCGGCTCGGGTTCATACCACCTCAATAAGACCAAAGGACCCAACAAGATCGTAGTTGGTGGTTCGGAAAATTGGCATTTCGGATTCAACTACACAGATTGGGCTTTGAAGAATGGTCCAATTTACATCAAGGATACCCTAGGTGAGTTCTCAAAATTTGTTGTACATTTCCCCCCATAAATTGTTGTTTGTAAAGATGCACTTATTTAGCTTCTCTAGTCTTTGCCATTTAGTGCTACGATCTAGTAGCATCTCTCTTCACTTGTAAATAAGAGGTCTTAAGTCTAAGATATAATTTCTATTGTAAATTATATATCGACAATTTAATAACATAATGTGTCAAACAAACGATTTACAGCAATGAAAACTTTCATCAAGTCTCCTTGATTTGTTTTGATATGAGCAACGCTTTTTCCTTTATGAATATAAGTGAACAAGTATTTACATGATAAATGGTGTTTTGGGTGTTTGCAGTTTTCAAGTATGAACCACCAAGTGACACCATACGTCCTCACAGCGTGTACTTGTTCCAGGACTTTCAGAGCTTCTTGAACTGTGACTTGAGTCGAGCAAGAATGGTGGGAAATCAGACACAAGGTGGCGGAGACGGCTTTGAGTTTGTGCTCCAAAGGTGGCGGCCTTACTACTTCGCTTGCGGTGAACATGATGGTTTACATTGTAAGGACGGGCTTATGAGGTTCCCCGTCTTCCCAATGTTTCGCGGTTGGCATCAATGATCGATTGGCGCTGAAAGACAATGAATACAACACACTTTATATTCATAATCAATTATTTTTAAGCAAATAACAAGACTTGGTATGCAAGTTTTTGAGAGACTACATTTGATAAGTTCAGCAGTCACATTGGTATTGATATGTCCTGCATTTAATTCTTGTTCTTGTAGTGATGTTTTACTTTTGAATAATGTTAGGGAGACTCAATTTGAAGATTAAATTTTGAAAACCAAAGGACATGGAAGTTGATGATTGGTTTATTACTTAATTCTTGAAAGACATACTCATTTAGTTTGCAATTTTAGTCTCCAAATTTAGTTTCCCTAGCATTACTTTTTACTTTTGATATTGCTGTACTAATTAAAGCTTACATTGCCTTTTCAATTTTTTTTTTAAATAAGGAAATTTAAGCGCCTATCTCTAGTGACGATATTACTTCGATCAAGTCTTCTGACTTTTTTCACATCAGTACTTTAGTTGCCAACTCAATATTTTATATTATTTTTTTATAACTAGATGAAGCCCACCTATTGTTGTGTAAATATGAAAGTAAAAAAAAACTATAATATGGAAAAGAGAGAAGTTAGAGAGAAATGTGAGTGTAAGAGAGAGAGAGAGAGAGAGAGAGAGAGAGAGAGAGAGAGAGAATGTGGTTAAAAAAAAAATTAAAGATGCTATGATGATATGTGGACGAGATTTAAAAAAATAAAAAAAAAATAAAAAAAAAGAAGCAAAGTTTGGTATGTGCAAAATTACATTATTGCCTGTTAACAAGGCACTTTTAGGCCCATGTAATGGTGCAGGCCGGAAAAGAAGTCATAAAAGCCCAAAGAAGTTCAAGAAGCCCAAGGCTCGAGAAGCTTAGAAAAGAATGATCCCGTGTGCTAAAGCCGACCGCTTATAACCCCAGTTCGACCAAGATATGTAAAGAACTTTTCAGTCACCAGGGGCACGTGGGAGGCTGATAGCTTTATGGCACAAGTCTCTAGGGGCAAGTCTGGCAGAGGACAATTAGGCCACAAGATGGAACATAAACATGCTCAGAGTAGCACTCGAAGAGACGGGGTGGGATAACCAAGGCCAAGGGGGACGCTCGGCTCGCACCATTCTGAAAAAGCACACCTTCTCAACTGAACGCTTGCCACTTCATTGTTGAATACCTGGTTGATAAGCAAAAATGTTTTAGTATGCTAGTCTATGTAGGTGGTGCATTAAATGTCGAGTTGTGAAGACCCAAAGGTCCTATATTTTAATTTGTTAAACTGCAAATTTTGGGTGTTAATTGTTTGTTGTCGTGTGTAAAAACGCATACAAAATGGTATGCATCCATGCTCCAGTCACTTCGCATGTTTCCGAATTACATCATAATTATCTATATTTTTAGTTCCCCTTCCCCACCTTTGCATACATATACGCAGACGCTATCTTCAACTAGGAAATGAAGAGGGCTGCTTGCATGTAGCACTAGATTATGTCTCCTAAATTTATCTCTTGGTAGAGGTCAAAATATTTCGTGGAAGAAAGCTGGACTATGAACCTAAACATTGAGACAAACATAAAAATGAACAAGATTTCATGACCTTGGTTGAATTCTCTACTAATCCTTATGGCAAAGCAATGGCATCGCTTGACCTAAAATCCGGATATGTTCGAGTATTGACTATTGTGCGCACTTCCCTAGTTCTCTCGTTTTGTCATATTTCATAAACACCTCCTTTATCATACCTAAAAAATGAACAGGTAAAAGAAGAATGGATTTTAGGTTAAATACAGATAACCACCTTACCTCGCCTGATTTCAAATTGGTTTCAACCTTCTAAAACATTTGATAAGACTACCTAACTTTTTGAAAATTAGACTTCTATTAGATCAACAACGTTAAGTGAAGATATTACTGGCATTTAGTGATAACGTGGACCCCTATTAGCCACCTTTTTTTTTTTTTTTTGAAAACTAGATAAGAATTACAGGCAAAACAGCCAAAAGTGTACAAGTAAGCCTACAAAGAGGCAAACAGCCAGAAACTACACCACAAATAGGCAATGCAAGGAGATACAAGGATCCTGACGCCACATTTGATGCTAAAACGTCACTCCCTACACTACCCTCTGAGATACCTAGTGTGGACAAGGAAGTCCATCATTGCGAAGCATAGAAACCAGGGAAAATGAAGGTCTGTGAACCCAAACCCCATTGCTCATCTCCCGACATCGCTGCGACGCTAAAAAGTGCGCAGCCTTGTTAGCTGAATCCAAGACCAGCCACAAATATGGAAACAATCTCCTAAGCGAATACACTGCTGAAGAAGAGGGAAAGCTTCCCACCTACCCTTGGAAGGCGAGTCCCACAAAGCTAAAATGGTTTAAGAGGAGTCAAATTCAAGAACCACAAAATGCCAACCCAACTGATGACCAAGCTCACATCCAATCTTAACAGCCAACGCCTCTGCCATAGCCACACTCTGAGCCTTCACACTATATCTACCTGCACCCAAAAAACCCCCAGCATTGTTTCGTGCAACCACCCCAACAAAACTCGAGCCAAATAACGCTTCCCAACTAACATCCACATTAAGCTTGATAAACCCCGGGCTTGGAGGAGTCCACGTGACAGCTACCACCGGTAATGGAGGAGCAGTTGTTCGAGAGCCAGTTACCTGAGTAGCATGCAGAAAAGTTCCGGTAGAATTAGAAATTTCAAAGACTACCTTCGAGTGATAAATGGGTTGATGGTTAGTAATTATAATAAGAGATGCATAGAGATGTAGATAATTTCATTCTTGGTCACACAAGAAATATAGGAAGAGTGGTAGTATAAGTTTACTAATAATTTTATCCAAGTCCTGTGTATGAAACTCCCCCTACCTCTCTTAAATTACTGTAATAGTTTCGAACTCTCCCTCTCCGCTTAATATTGATAATTTATAATATATATATATATATAAAGTTAATTAAGACTATTTTAATTTTATATCTTGAAAGAGAAAAAAGAACTAAAAATAACACCATCTAACATTTAATATAGTCTTACTAATTCACTCCAATTTAACATGTGTTACATTCACGCTAAAAATTACTCGTCAAAAAGTTAATACATGCAAGCCATATAATGCACAAAAAACCTTATTACAATAATTTTGGAACTAATGTTGTGTTTTAGATGATGTCATCATCGTGTCGCACAATATTATAGCATACTTCAATGCTCTCTAACTACACTTAACTTTTGATATGCTCTTGAAAGATGTTCGTGATCTCCCCCTTGATTTTTTTATAGTCATTTTGACTCAACTGTTCAAATAATGACATTTATACAATAAAATAATGTTAGGTCGTGATATAAGAAGAATAACTTATTATTCTAAAAACGTATGACTTTGTCTAATTTGTTAATGTCATGAGTATGTCAACAAACGTATGACATTCATTTCCCCTCAAACATGACACATTCCACAACTTTTAAGTCCCCCTTTTTATTACTTGTTTTCCTCCACTCTAGCAGTTCGGTTAATATCGCAATGCAGCCATCGCAGATGTAGTTGGAGCATAGGTAGAGGGAAATAAGATGCAGCTTCGTTTGGCTTGCGCCAAATCCTCAACCAACAGAGGATCACCATCACGTTTGTTGCCAAATAGGGGGGACGTAGAGGAAGATCGTTGCTAGTTAGAAACATGACGTTGGGGGTTTGGGGCTCTCGCCACAGGAGTTATGCGATGTAATTTCTGTTGTAAATTATATATCGACAATTTGGTAACATAATGTGTCAAATGATCGATTTATAGTAATGAAAACTTTCATCAAGTCTCCACAATTACATGATAAATGATGTTTTGGGTGTTTGTAGTTTTCAAGTATAAACCACCAAGTGACACCATACGTTCTCACAACGTGTATTTGTTCCAAGACTTTCAGAGCTTCTTGAACTGTGACTTGAGTCAAGCAAGAATGGTGGGAAATCAGACACAAAGAGGCGGAGACGACTTTGAGTTTGTGCTCAAGAGGCGGCAGCCTTACTACTTCATTTATGATGAACATGATGGTTTACATTGTAAGGATGGGCTTATGAGGTTCCCCGTCTTCCCAATGTTTCGCCGCTGGCATTCATGATCGATTGGTGCTGAAAGACAGTATTAAGACAATGAACACAACACACTTTATATTCATAATCAATTATTTTTAAGCAAATAACAAGACTTGGTATGCAAGTTTTTGAGAGACTATAATTGATAAGTTCAATACTCATATCGGTTTAATCATGTCCTGTATTTAATTCTTGTTCTTTGTAGTGATGTTTTACTTTTTAACCAAAATATTTGAATAATATTTTTGGAAGTTTGAAATTGAAGGTTAATGATATTGTTGTACTAATTAAAGCTTACATTGCCTTTTCAAAAAATTTAAGAAAAAAAAGGAAATTTAGGCTTCTATCTATAGTGATGATATTACTTCGATTGAAACTTGTATCTTGCCAACTTTTGAGTCAAGTCCTTTGACTTCTTTTCACATCAATATTTAAGTTGCCAACTTAACATCTTATATTATTTTGTTATAACTAGATGAATCCCACCCACTGTGTTCGTAATTATAAAATTAAAAAAAAAAACTATAATATGGAAAAATAGAGAAGTTAGAGGGAAATGTGAGTAAAAGAAAGGGGAGAGAGAGAGAGAGAGAGAGAATGTGGTTTTAAAAAAAAAAAAAAAAACTATAATGACATATGTGCGAGATTTGAAAACGAAAAAGCAAAGTTTGGTTTGTGCGAAATTTCATTACTATCTTTTAACAAGGCACTTTTTAGGCCCATGTAATGGTGCATGCCAGAAAAGAAGCCATGAAAAGCCCCAAGAAGTTCAAGAAACCTAAGGCCTGAGAGGTTCATAAAAGAATGATCCCATGTGCTAAAACCGGCCGCTTATAATTCCAGTCCGATCAAGATATGTAAAGTACTTTTTGAACGCTAAGGGCACGTGGATATGCTGACAACTTTATGGCACAAGTTTATAGGGACAAGTCTGTTAAAGGACAATCAGGCCACATGTGAACTACAGTTAGTGATAGAAACCCAAGATGGGACGTAAACGTGCTTAGAGCGGCACTCAGAGAGACGGGGTGGGATAACGAAGGCCGAGCGAGATGCTTGGCTCACACCATTTTGAAAATGCACACCTTCTCAATTGAACACCTATCACTTCACTGCCGAATACCTGGTTGGTAGGTGAAAAAGTTTTAGTATGCTAGTCTACGTAGGTGGCGCATTAAATGCCAAGTTGTGAAGGCCCAAGGCTAGGGGTTCATGAGGGCTTATATAAGGGGGGTAAGCACTTTCTATATTGGGGAAAGAGATCTAAAGAGAAAGAGTTCATGTATTAGCCGACCGCTATTTTTAGTCTTGTAATGAATAGAATCCGAGCAACACAATAGAGTAGCCCAACTTTAAAGATTGAACTACTGAAACATTTGTGTCCATTTCATTTTAGCTCATATCTCAACCCAACTAAGTGTCCTATATTTTAATTTGTTAACGTACAAATTTTGAGCTTTGACTGTTTACGGTATGTGGAAACACATACAAGATGGTATGCATCCTTACTCGAATCACTTCGCATGTTTCCTAATAATCATAATTGTTCATATTTTTAGTTCCCTTTCCCCCTTTGTGTATATATACGCATACGGCCTCTTCAACCAAGAATTGAGGAGAACGGCTTGCATATAACACTATATTATGTTTCCTAAATTTATCTCTTGATACATGTCAAAATATTCCGCGAAAGAAAGCAGGACAATGAACCCAAACATTGTGACAAACATAAAATGAACAAGATTTCATAACCTTGGTTAAATTTTCTGCTGAAGATCCTTATGGCAAAGTAGTGGCATTGCTTAACTTAAAATCTAGATATGTCTGGGTACTGACTACTATGTGATCACTTCCGTAGTTCTCTCGCTTTTTCATATTTCATAAACAATTCCTTTATCTTACTTAAAAAATGAAAAGGTGAAGGAAGGATGGATTCCAGTTCTTGGGATCACGCTAGCTTTTATATCATTTGATATGCTGAAAAAGGAAATATATGACATTTTGGCTATTAATGCCAAAGAGATGGGTGGTGTAGCTGAGGAATAATGAGAACCATGACTCCCATAAAGGCATCAAGACAACCAACTTGACCTCTTTAAGAGTAACCTAGGCTGAGCAGAACAATGATATGGCTCAATAAGATGCAATGATGCCGAAAAAATATGGTGGTTGTGTTGGAGGATGAGGTAGCTGGTGTGGAAATGTAACAATTAGTGAAGTATCTATAAGATGTGGCAGTGGTTGTGGTGGAGAATGTGGAAACATGGTGAAGAGTTACGGCTGTGGTAGTCATTTTAGTGGTGGCTATGGAGCCATTATGAAGAGTGGTGGTTGTGGTAGTGATTGTGGTGGTGGTTGTGAAAGCATGCTGAAAGGTAGGGTTAAGGTGGCTGCGGTAGTAGCGGTGATTGTGGTGGTGGTGGTGGCTATGGAAGTATGCTGAAGAGTGGTGGCTAAGGAGGTTGTGGTGGTAGTGGTGGTGGCTATAGAAGCATGCTGAAGAGTGGTGGCTAAGGAGAGCGGTGGTAGTGGTGGTAGTTGTGGTGGTAGTGGTGGTTGTGGTGTTTGATGCGGAAGCCTTTTCAAGGGTAGTGAAACACATCTGATAACTTGTGTGCTGAGGAACACCAAAAGGAAACACCTAGTAATGTGAGAGTAGTTGCCTAATGCCCCTGTTCATACTTGTTATATGCCCATTTTTTATCTGTTGTGTGATTTTATCTATGGTAAATAAAGCTTCATCTTTCTCATCAAGTAACTCCAATTTGGGCAATCAATCCAAGCAACTGCTTATATAGAACGCGATTCCTCTAAATTTTTTTCGCTTATGCTTATTAAGAGGATAGTGCTAGGGAGACTAAATTTTTAAGTCAAATTTGCAAGCCAAATGATGAGTCACCAATATAAAATAAGCATGTTAATCAATACTTAAGTAATAATGCAATCATCAACATAGTTGATTTACAAAATTTGATTTAGAAATTTGGTATCCCTAACATTTCCCTTGTCGAAATATGTAAATTTAATTAAGGTTGAATTCAACCTTGAACTCTCCTCAGTTGTTTTTGGCATTTACATACCCCTAAATATAAATCAGGTTGAATGTATTATGGTATGTGTTGTAGGCTTAATTTACTGAACTACTCTAGAGGAATAGAGATAGGGAGGCCGACGACAATAAGAGAGAGAAGAGAGAGATTTAATTGTGAGATGTGTGTTATATCACCCCATTGTGCCTTTATTTATAATAGTAGGATAGGTTAAATCCTTACCCTAATAGGATTACAACTCTAATTGGATAATATCTACTTTAGAGAATATTCCAAGATATCCCTAGATACACTAGGATTTAGACAATCACATTCCTATTCTAAATATGACTGCAACACGCCCCCTTGAGTGTGTAAATACTCAAACAAAACATCGCATCAGGTCTTTAGCAGTTGAGGTAGAATAATTGATGAAGTCGTTGACACAACAGACAAATGTGAGTCTCAAATTTAAAGAAAGTATGCATTGGTAGTAAAACTCACAAAACCTTGCTATGGTAGAACCTAGGGTAGGTAAAAATCATAGTACAATATTTTGGAACTAATGTTGTGTATTTCAATGATGTCATCATCGTGTCACACAATAGTATAACATACTTCAATGTTTTCTAGCTTAGCTTTTGATATGCTCTTAAAAGATGTTCATGATCTCCCTTTGATTGTTGAATGTTGATAGTCATTTTGACTCAATCATTCAAATAATGACATTTATACAATAAAATAATGTTAGATCGTAATATAAGAAGAATGACTCATTATTCTAAAATCGCAAGGTTTTGTCTAATTTGTTGATGTCATGAGTTTGTCAACAAAAGTATGACATTCAGTTTTCCCCTCAAGCATGACACATTCCACAACTTTTAGGTCGCCATTTTTATTACCCATTTTCCTCCACTCTAGTAGTTTGTTAAAATCGAAATGCCCAGAATTTTATTTTTCCATTTTCAACCAAATTTCAAACTCAGAACATTTCATTGGCACTGTTGCTTGTGGGTTTTTTCCTGCAAGCTTCCTTTTGTTTGTGGTGCAGATTTTGGGGTTGGGGCTCCCTCCCGGGTGGCGCAGGGTGGCCCCCCGGCCGGGGGGGGGCGGCGCGGCGGGTGGGGTGGGGGTTGGTGGGCGGGGTGTGTGTGTGTGTTGTGCGCGCGCGCTACTTGAAGGATGCTGGCATTTTCTTTTTCTCCGCTTCTGGAGCGTTAGATGGGATATTTCCGACGAAGACGGCGGCAGATGCAAGTTGTTTAGTTTCTTCGGTTTTTTATTTTTCTTTGGGCTCACAACTTCGTGTTGGGTTATATATTGGGGTCGGACCTCTTTCATGTAAATTTGTTTTGTGGGTTTAATGAAGTTGTGAACACCTTGCTACCCAAAAAAAAAAAAAAAAAAAGGTGCTCAGTAGGAAACACATTTTGCAAGAGTCCTCAGTAGACTTCGGAGGTTGTTACTATTTTATTATTTACAAAACGTGTTAGCAAACTTATATTTAGCTGAGTTGATTAGAGTAATATCATTTTCTCTTTCTGCTTAAGTTTGAATCCCTTTTCCACCATTTACACTAAATTAATTCGAATATCACATGAATCAAATAGAAAAAAAATGAATAAATACTTCTAACTCTCGTGGTAAAGTAAGTTATCTCAACATCCATAACAAATTAATGTGATTCTTACCTTCTGCAACACTTGAGTCTAAAGACTTGTTAAAATTTGAACCTCCAAAGAAACCAAATATTAACTCTGGCTATTAAGAAAATACAAAACTAAGTTTGACATAACAAACACGTTACGCATGTAATTGTTTATTAGAGACTGGGAGAAAGAGACATTAAGTGACTAACTTAATTAGGGAGACTTAAACTTAATTAGGAGCAGCATTATAATTTTAGAACATTTTTTTCCTTGTCTTACCCACCAATATTGAAAAGGTGTCAATTTGGCCAGTTTGCACTACTTAATTGGCTAATAAAAGAACCCATATTACTAATATGTATTCACCACAACTCAAGTTTCATTCCCCTCTATCCTCTAAATTTCACCACTCCATCGCTTGAGTTTTTGCATTTGATAGAAAACAATGAGTTCGAGTTTTGCACAAATTACATTAGCAATGGTGCTAATTGCTTCGATGCTGGCAGTTAGCACAGCCAACAAACATTGGCAATATACTAATTACACTGGCTGGGGTTTCAACAATGGCTCGTACCACCTCAATAAGACCAAAGGACCCAACAAGATCGTTGTTGGTGGATCGGAAAATTGGCATTTCGGATTTAACTACACAGATTGGGCTTTGAAGAATGGACCAATTTACATCAAGGATACTCTAGGTGAGTACTCAAAATTGTTGTACATTTCCCCCCTTAAATTGTTGTTTGCAAAAATGTCACTTCTTTAGTTTCTCTAGTCATTGCCACTTAGTACTACAGTTTAGTAGTAAGAGGACTAGATTCAAATCTTGTGAATTACTAGTTCAATACTAATTCGTCCATCACCCCTTATAGTGTGTGTGTATATATTGTTGTATAAAAAAAAAAAAAAAAGCGTTTCCTTGTCTTTAGCCTATTGAAAACAAAAAAGATTTGAGTTTGTTTTAAGTCTTGGATGTAATTTCTATTGTAAATTATATATCGACAATTTAATAACATAATGTGTCAAATAGACGATTTACAGCAATGAAAACTTTCATCAAGTCTCCTTGATTTGTTTCGATATGAGCAACGCTTTTTCCTTTATGAATATAAGTGAACAAGTATTTTCATGATAAATGGTGTTTTGGGTGTTTGTAGTTTTCAAGTATGAGCCACCAAGTGACACCATACGTCCTCACAGCATTTACTTGTTCCAAGACTTTCAGAGCTCCTTGAACTGTGACTTGAGTCGAGCAAGAATGGTGGGAAATCAGACACAAGGTGGCGAAGATGGCTTTGAGTTTGTGCTCCAGAGCTGGCGGCCTTACTACTTAGCTTGCGGCGAACATGATGGTTTACACTGTAAGGACGGGCTTATGAGGTTCCCTGTCTTCCCAATGTTTCACGGCTAGCATTACTGATCGATTGACGCTGAAATATAATAATAAGACAATGCACACAACACACTTTATATTCATAATTAATTATTTTTAAGCAAATAACAAGACTTGGTATGCAAGTTTTTGAGAGACTATAATTTAATAAGTCCAGCAGTCACATTGATATTGATCATGTTCTGCATTTAATTCTTGTTCTTTGTTGTGATGTTTTACTTTGTAACCAAAAAACTTGAATAATATTTTTGGAAATTTGAAATTGAAGGTTAATGATATTGTCGTACTCATTAAAGCTTACATTGCCTTTCCAAAAATATAAAAAGAAAATTAGGCTAAGGTATACTTTGATTGAAACCTTGTGTTTTTTCAACTTTGGATCGAAGTCCTTTGATTCCTTAGTACTTTCCACATAAGTATTTTAGTTGGCAATTCAATATTTTATATTATTTTA